ACACACACACATATATACACACACACATGCAGGTATTTGAACACATACAAATGCATGGTATGACAGTTTGAGCAAATGCTCTTTGACTCCTGGCCTTGTCTATCACTGAGCTCTCCATAGGTCTAGAAGGCTAGAAGGCTAGTTCTAAAGAAAATGTCCTGAGGTGAGCTCATGTGTTAGGCTATTCAGAGCTGCTCCAGTTGATGTGAGTTCTACAGATCTGGTCTCTCTTCTTTTCTGGCATTTGGTTCACAGCACCTTTTATTGCTCCATTCATTCTTCACATTCTCTATTTCTTCCACCTTTGGAGGTGCTATTCATTGGTTACAAGTGCAAGTAAGAGTCTTTGGATGAAACATTTCTTCATGGACAGTGGCTCTGTAGGTCTGGATGAATTCTTTTCTCATTTTTGTGACACAGTCTGAGTTCCTCCTTGCAGGACCATAGTCTGTGTTCCACCCGTTGGGCAGCTCGCTGCTTGAGCTGTGCAAGACCATCAGTAGAAATGGACACTTTAAATCCAGGCATTAAACTGTAATCCTGCTAAATAATTTGTTTCCTGTTTTATAAGGTTTGCATAGAAGAGGGGGTGGAAAAATGCAGAATGTTTTTCGGCACATTTCCTTCCTTCCGCCCCCAATCCTGCTAAAGATACAGCATCCTGACTTCATGAATGCTGGTAGGGTTACTCCTGGTGTTAGATTTTTGTGTGCCCCAGTTACTTTCCCAGTGGGGTAGCATCTTACACATTCTGTCACTGCGATGTAAACAAGTGCTGGGGCAGAGAAGGTGCTTGATGAATTTATTCATTAACTGCTGGTTTTGTACCTTGGCTTAGAGCTCCACAGAAATGTGCCCAGACCCCAGAGTCCACATGGGGAAACCTCCACCTCCGTTTTTCCCTTTTTGCCACTTCTTATCCCCTGAAATCTAGCTTCGCCCTTAAAACTGAAAATTGAAACTGATTTTTTTCTAGTTGCCTAAGATTTTTATTTGCCAATTGATGTGTGTGTGTGTGTGTGTGTGCGTACATGTGCACACACACACACACACACACACACACACACACACACTATAGACCACACTTAACACCCAGCCAGCTCCTACACCCAGCCCAGGCCCCAGTGCTTCTTTCTCTGATGCTTGGTGATTGAACCTTGAACCCCTTCCCCTCTTTTAAGAGTAGGTCCGTGACTTCCAACCCCCTGCTTCTGTCTTATTTTGTAATTAATGGATGAAACCTCCAAGTCACCATTAGGCTCTTTCTGCCCACTGTGCAGCAGGGTCATAGCAGTGAACACAGCAGACTGGGTCCCCAGCCCTGATGCAGCTCTGGGTCCTTGAGCAAGTGTGCTGTGCTTGCTACCTGTCAGTATCCTGTATTCCCCTCTCTTACATCTTTAAATGTCCTCCTCATCTCACCTCCCCCTCAAACTGCCTTCACTCTCTTCAGGCTACAAGAGGAATCCCTTTCAGAATGTCTTCCATTCTTATGTGAGGGATCCTTTTAATTTTTCTCAGATCTTTCCATGTATATTAGTCTTAACTCTTAAATCAGACAGTGATCTCCTTAAGGCCCACTATGTTTTATTTACAATGCTCTCTCCAATGTTGAGTGGATTGGCTGTCATCGCCATAGCACGGTACTACCCATAGTGATTAAATTATAATTACATGTACTTAGAAATAATTAAGATAATACATTGAACCTGCCATTGTGTGAAATGTTTTATATGTGGTTTCTCATCTAATGAATGGGTATTCCGTATGCAATCAAGTGATTTAGGAAGACTGGCTCAGCGGGTCAACAGTTGAGGGGTCTCAGGTTATCACTTCTCAGTCTCAGTTTCAGCTTTTCTAGTTGCTATGTTAGTTAGCTTTCTGGTGCTGTGAGAAACAGAAGGAAGTTTATTTTAGCTCACAGTTTTGGAAGTTCCAGGCTGCATTTATTGGCCCTGTGGCTTTGGCCCAGTGGCAGTATATCATGGTGGGGATCCAAGGTAGGACAAAGCCCCTCTCCTGGTAGCTGGAAAGTTGAAAAAGAAGAAGAAGCAGAGAGGGTCTCACTGTCCCCCACATCTGCAGTGACCAGACCTCCCCTTGGGCCACAACTTCTAAAGGTTCCACTGCCTCCCAATGATGCCACAGGCCAAGGACCAAGCATGAAGCACAGGGGCCTTTGAGGGTCTTCCAGATCCATAGTACAGCATCAGCCAAGGGAGAGCTGGATGCCAGCCTTTCTAGGGTCTTACCTTTTCAGTTGTCTGGCTCAATTCAGTTTCTAATCACTCTTATTTAGGGAATGCTGACCATGTACTCTGCACAAACCTGTCACTTAAGGGATATAAAACAAATATAAAACTCAGTCCCTTACCTTGTTACCAGCTAGTACAATAGCAAGAAGCCAGAGGTAACTGAGGGATACCCAATAAAGGAGCAAATTATTTCATGAGGGGATGGGGGAGATTCCTGAGACTCTATTGTAATAAGAAGCTTCCTGGGAGAGGAGATATTTCCAAGCAGTGTAGAGAAGGCAGCTGAGGGCCGGTGAGATAGCTCAGTGGTCTAAAATGCCTGCTTAGGCAAGCTTAGGCAGGCACAGGGGACTGAGGTTCAATCCCCAGCACCATATCCCATGCCAGCCAAAAAAGAAAAGAGAAAGAGAAAGAAGGCAGTTGATGGAGTGGCTTGGTTGAGCAGAGTGGGAGTACAGAGACACTCCTTGGCAGGACTGATGGCCACAGCAAGCTGTTCAGCAATGAGCCAGACAGGGCTCTGTTTAGGAGCCACCAACCAGACATTTTGCACATGCTGAATTTCAAGTGGCGGCCATACGGATATTGATGTAACATAAAACAAGAGAATCTTGATTACATCAGAAAAGTATGTGGAGCTCAAAGGAGTGAAGTGGTTAGATATTTGAGACATCCTCTCCATAAAGCCATTAATTTTGGATCTCATGAACTGAGATGACTCATCCGCAGGAAAGCAAGGTGATACACCTGGAGTCCTGTCCTGCTACACTACGATTAGTTACAGCTGGCCAGTGGTAGAATTTAATGATCAATACATCTCTCTTCATTTTGGGAGGGAGTTGAAGTGTTTTGCAAATGTATTTGCCAGGAACAAGATAAAAATACAAGAGAAAAAAGTGAAAGAAATAACAGGGTGAGGCTATAGGAAAAGCTGAGGAAGCACAGGTGGGTTGCTCACTGGGCTCAACAATTGTCTGAGTCGCTTTCCTGTCACTGGGATTCAACACTCCACACCCACAATTTAAAGGAAGAGATGTTTATTTTGGCTCACAGGTTTTAGAGGATGCAGTTGATAGTTGGCTCCAAGGCAGGATGAGCGTGCTGGAAAGTTCTGGAGGACACTGCCCATGCTGTGGGGGTTAGAAAGCAGAGTTAAGGGAGAAGCCAGGGACACAAATACACTTCCCAGGTCTCCCTTCCAGTGACTCCACCCCCTAAGGCGCACTCAGGGCCCCTCTGATCCAGTCGCCTTCCAGGAGCCCCACCTCTCAATACATGAAGCTTTTGAAGGATGTTGAGAATCTAAATAGTAATAGCATCTCAACAACAAATGCAATCTTTCCTTTAGAAAAGGATTTTAGTGAGACTCTGTTTTATTTTTATTTTATTTATTTATTTTGGTGGAACCGGGGATTGAACTCAGGCCCTTACACTTGCCAGGGAAGTGCTTATTCCACTGAGCCATCCCAACGTCATGTAACTCAGTAGTGTCCCAAATTTTGTGATTAAGGAGATTGTGGGGCCAATGAGGAAAGTGATCGATGATGTAGAGTGTGCCTAAGGAGAGTCACATAGACAGAAAACATTCTCTCAGGCTTTCACAGAGAGCACATTGGCCAAGCAATGGCTATGACTCATCCACATGGCTAACACTGACAAAGCTTCTACAATCTGAGGTACAGGGTCTCAGGATAAATCCTGAGGGGATTTCACTGACCTTATCAGATCCAAAAGCTACAATTCTTGTTGCATAGGTCTTGCTTTATCTTGGTCTTAACCATTCAACAGAAAAGTATAAAAACGAAGTATAAGAAGTAAAGCCATGCTGTTATGTTGAGCTGTAGGAGACTCAGGTCAACAATTTCTGACATTGTCAGTCAAGCGGAAGACCCAATACTATTATGGATTACTGGACTCTTTTAGAATATTTTGTTGAGTTAAAACATCTATAATATTCAAATAACAGAACTAAACAAAAAAGGGGATACAGATGAATGTCCATTTTGTATCTGTGTATTCAAAATGGTTAGGATGGATATATAGTTACATTCTCTTAATGAATAGGGGGATTTGTTCTAATAGAGTTTGTAAATAGGATATCATGTCTGCATCTTGTACCGCAATTAACCACTAGGAAGAATGTGCGCAATGTGTTAATTATTGAAATTGTCCTACCAGTTTGGTTTGAAACTGTCTTAATGCTATTTGTTTCTCAATAAAATTATGGAAAAAAAAAAAGGATTTTATTTTCAGTTTGATAATGTAGCATCCATAATTGTTCAAGCTTTTATTCAGAGACTTACTGATAAAAAGGATTTTTAGGCATTGGATAATTCTGTGTGCTTTTATTTATGTTGTTTGTATTTAAGAAAATTTGCTAGAAAGGCAGGCTAAAAGTAAAACAGCAGCGCAAGGCTTCTGGCTGAGCTTTGGAGGCCACATTGTTAATGTACTTGAGGTCTGACTTAAGGAAACCCCAGCTCTGAGGCCACAGAGAATTTCTTCTCTTTGGAAAACATAATTATCATGAATGATTTCCTTCTAGGAAAGGCTTTTATTTCTGCCTCCCCAATGCACCATTTACCCTAAAGCATGCTTTGCTTGCTTTATGCCATCTGCAGTGGAGTGGAGTCTGCCAATGTCATCAGGGTGTTTACATCTGAGAACAATGGAGAAGAGGGGGCTGGGCGGGAGGCGCCTGTCCTGCTCTGACCTGCCCTCAGCTCTTCTCTCTTACACTCATAGTGTGAAGCAGCACGAACGGTACAGCCAGCTGACCCTGGTCAACTCCACTGCGGCCGACACAGGGGAATTTAGCTGCTGGGGCCAGCTCTGCAATGGCTCCATCTGCAGAAGGGACGAGGCCAAAACAGGCTCCACCTACATCCTTTTTACAGGTAATATTCTTAGTGCAGTCACTGCAAAACCCTTTAAACTTCTTCCGTACTTGGTCCTGAACTGAGACTTCCTCTGCATGCTGAATAGCATGCGATAGTAAGGCACTATTCAGGCTCCAGGCCAAAAGCTTTCCATTAATTACATCATGTAGGTCCTGCTTCAGGATATGTATGAACAACATTTTTTTTTCTTTTTTTTCAAATGGAAAGTTGAAGTTTAGAAAGATTAAATCCTTAAGGTCACATAGCAAGTGCTGGTGCTGAGATTTGAACACAGAGCTGATTCTATGGTGTACTGTTCAGTGTGATAGGATCTGGACACATGGGACCACTTAAATGTAATTGAGTATTAATTTAAATGGAATGTAATTAAAAAGTAATTTTCTCAGTCACACTTACCACATTTCAAGTGTTCAGTGGTGACACGTGGCTATAGTACTGGACAGCGCAGGAAACATTTCCCTCACAGACAGTTTTGTTGTATAGTACTGATCATTCTGGAACCTCCACAGACACAGAGACTTCATTAAGACATCCTGATATTTGTACCTATGAGTAGCATGAGCTGTGGGTGGGGGCAGGATTCTCAAGGTGTATCTTGATTGGTGCTGTGCTCAGGCCCTAGACTGGGGAGCCTGAAAACCCACAGGGCTTATTTTCAGTTGGAGCTTGCATGCTTGAGGAGTACATGTTGCAGGTCCCCTGTGTTGTCTGCCTGCACAGCCATCTACAGGCTCCTTTCTCTGCAGATTCCCTAAGCTCTGCAGTGAGGGGTTAAAGTTTAACAAGGTTTACAGGTCAGGAATAGTTTTCAGGAATCTTGCAAATTCCACGTCCTGGCACTATTGTCCAGGGCATTTTTGAGGAAGCTGGGATCTTTTTTGGCTTCTAAGCATAAGTTTTCATGAGCTCTATCTTGAATCCACATGCCTTTCAGATGCTGACTGTGTGTGTGTGTCTGTGTGTGTGTGTGTGTGTGTGTGTGTGGTGTGTTCCACATGCTAGGCAATAACGTGCTTTTCTACCACTGAGCTCCATCACCAGCTCCAGTCTAGGGTGATTTATACCTATGGTCCAAATGACTCTATGCCTTTGCCATCAATGAAGACTTTGACATCTCATGTATTTTCCTTCTCTGTCCAAATTGGCCCTCCCAGCCAAAACATTAGCAAGAAATGCTCTACTCAGTAAACAATTTCTCTCTTTATTTCTACAGCATCACTAGGAAATAAAGTGATTTTTATCACCTGTATTATAGAAATAATAATGCTGATTCTGATGCTCAAAAATGTCCAGTTTTCTGTGACTTATACTATTAGAGTAAAAAATCAAACTGTTATTGTGACCCAGGATCCAGTTTTATTACTGCTTGAACTCTCTCTAGGACGAAACATTAAACAGACTATAGATAGACAGACAGACACTAGCTGTAACGAGTGGGAAATTATTCTCAGTTGCTCATAGGCAATCCCTTTGGATCCTCGTTTTGGAAAATACTACACAGAATTGTTTGTGAGCCCTTTGTACACCACACTGCAAAGGAACAGTAGGAAAGGGAACCAGCAGAGACAAGTAAGCATCATTATCCCAAACAAGGGTGGATGCCACATGTCAAATTTCTGAATGAAGATTCTTTGCCTAGATTAGCACTATTGTGTCTTTACAGACTGGTTCAGGTTTTCAACTGAAGGCTTCACTTGAGCAGAATGTTACATTAGATTTATGGGTTCTCTTTGTATTTTGTAGGTAAATCTCTTTCTTAATTTACTGATATCTTTTTGTGAACTAAAGGAAGGCTAAAACATTTCCTTTGACTTTAAAGAAACAAAGTATGTAATTCCAAAATTCAAGAGGCTGAGGCAAGAGGACTGCCAGGAGTTTGAAGCTAGAATGGGCTATTTAGTGAGTACAAGGCCAGCCTAAATCACATAAGCAGACCCTGTCTCAGAAAGACAGATCAAAACAAAACAGAAACCAGGTCAAAAGCAGAAGTGACCAAATACATTGTATGTTTTATTTAATTCCTCAGCACTTAGACAAATGTCCAGGTGGATTTTCACTATAGGGCTTGGCAATTTGCCCTTCCAGGTGTGAGTGGAGTTGGAAACCCAAATGGGCAGTTACAGAAGCTGAGGGTCCATTGCTGGCTCGGAATTCTTTCAGAGCACGTGCTTCTCAGCTACCACGTGGAGAACATCTGCCATTCATTCCTAGAGTTTGGTAGAAAATACTGTGGAGCTTCTTTTGGGGGGCTGTTATTAATGTGTACACTGTTTATGTGTTTGCCACATACATTTCCTCTTCATCTTTATCCAGAAGGCAGTCAGAGGGGATCCTTCTCCCACTTCCTATTCCTGTAACATACATAAAGGGAAACATTCAGACCCCAAGTATACCGCTCAGTAAGCTGTCCTCAGGGAGCAGATGCATGTGGCTGCCACCTGGACCGATCAAGGCTGAGAATGGTACAGGCAGGAGGCCTCACTCAGCGTGCAAGGCTGAGCAATTGTTTTCACATGTAGGAAAATCACATTAGAATTTTGCTAAATATTGAGTTTTCCATATTATGGATATTAGTTTATAGCCTTTTTGTTTATAGACTATTAACTTTATTTTTTTTGAAATATAAAATCCCATGTGTTTAGTAAAAAGAATCTGTTACATGCACTAACACATTTATTTATTTATTTATTTATTGTATTTTAGGGAAGGGTCTGCAGGGTGTTCAGGGTCTCACTAGTAGATGGGACTCGAAGTGATCCGCCTGTTTACAGACTCCCAAGAGCTGGGATTACAGGTGCGTGTCACCACGCCCAGTCTCAATTGCTGTCTCAGCACGTCCTGGGGGCGAGGCCAGCACCGCAGGCCCGGAGGATCAAACCCCAAGCACCTACCCCTGCTTGCAGGCGTTTTAACCCAGCACAAACACATTTACAGGAGACATATTTTACCTATATTTTTAAAAATGAATTTAAACACAGTTCTTTGGTACATGGAAGTCACTCCAGGTTTGAAAGGCTTGTAGATTTGGGATGTACACAGTACATACCTAAAGTCTCTGTGTCTGTGTGTGTGTGTGTGTGTGCGCACATGTGCATGTGTGTATGTGTGTGTGTGCCTTGCTGAGGAGAGAAACCAGAGGCTGTGCATACTAAGTAAGCTCTCTACCCCTGGGCTATATAGCCAGCCCTACACATATTTTGAAGTGACTGGTAGAATCACTTATTTCATAGCACATATTATGCTACAAGATGCAAGGTATCAGGGCTGAGGAGATAGCTTGGCAGTCTAAGCATCTGCCTGGCAAGCGCAAGGACCTGGGTTTGATTCCCCAGTACTGAATGCCACGCAGGCCCCAAAACTGGATGTGGTGGCACACACCTGTAACCAGGTACTAGGGAGGCTGACAGGAGGATCACCATAAGTCTGAACTGTGTAGTGATACCCTGTACCAAATAGATTTTAAAAACATTATTTTAAAAATGTTGTAAGACAGGCCAAGGAGATAGCTCAGTAGAATAAGTGTTTGCCTGGCAGGCACAAGGCCCTGAGTTCAATCTCGAGTACTGTAAAAAATAAATAAATAAATAAATAAATAAAATAAAATAAAAATGTTGTAAGGTATCATTTTAGTGGTTTGAAATTCAAATTGTTTAATTCTTCTGGGTTGGCTCATTGGTTCTAATTATAAGCCTTAAAACAAGGTTCTGGCAGAATACATTTCAGAGGGAAGATAGGAGGTGAGAGATTGGATGGCAGTCCCCAGCCAGATAGTGGCCAGTCAGAGGCCAGGCCTGAGGCCAGCAGATTCCTCCCCTGCACTGCTCTACTCCCTTACACGACCTTGGGCAGGCTTAGGTCTTCTGGGCTGGAGTGAGGCAGGGTGAGGGCGCACAGACTGGCACTGTCCTGGGCCTACCAGGAGAACTGGGTGTGCTGGGGAATGTCTTCCAGGTGGCAATTAGAAACTATAGCTATAGGTTTCATTTCTCTGTATAAAAGCAGAAATTGTCCAAGGTTTAAAACTGCTCTTAGCATAAAAAGATCAGTCTTTTTCCTTAGTTTGGTGATCCATGGTCTGATTTGGGTTTGAACTAAGACCTGTTTTGTTTCTTCTGAGGAGGTGAGAAGTGTTGGTCAGCTTTATGTCAGTAAAAGAAAATACCTGAGACAATTAGCTTAGCAAGAGAAAAGGTTTATTTTGGCTCACAGTTTTGAAAATTCTGGTCCATGATGAATTGGCCCTATCTCTCTGTGGCAAGAAAGCACATTATGGCAGGATCACATAGTGAAACGGAACCACTTACCTCATGGCCAGGAAGCGAAGAAGAGGAAGAAACTGGGACCTCACAATCTCTTTTTAAACAACAGGTTAGGACCTACCACCAGACCCCAGCCTCTAGAGGGGTTAACACCTTCCAGTAGTGTCATTATGGGACCAAGCCTTCATCATGTAGCAAGAATAAAATCATTCTTCATATATATATGAAGAAGCTAGCTTTCTCTGTTTATAAAGACCCAGTAGTCTGAGTAGTTCATTGTTCATCTTTGTGCATGAGTGTTAAGAATCCTTAAGGAACTCTTTAATGTCTCTAGAGTAAATGAGACTGTCTTCCATTTTCAGATAAAGGAGAACTGTTTGTACCTTCTCCCAGTTATTTTGATGTTGTCTACCTGAACCCAGACAGACAGGCTGTGGTTCCTTGTAGAGTGACTGTATTGTCAGCCAAAGTCACTCTACACCAGGAGTTCCCTGCCAAGGAAATCTCAGCCAATGGAACGGACATTACTTACGACTTGAAGAGAGGCTTTGTGTATCTGCACCCTCATTCTGACCACCAGGGGGTGGTGTACTGCAAGGCAGAGGCTGGGGGCAAGTCTCAGATCTCCATCAAATACCATTTGCTCTACGTAGAAGGTAAGCCTGCTACTCTCCTGAGCCCCCAGTGCCTGCATTTTAATTATTTCCCATGAGTTCCCACAAGGAACTGCTATTTTGTTACAAATGGAAATATAGAGGTATAGAATGCTATTCTGATGGGCTCCCCTACTGCATTACCACTTCTAGAATGTTCTACTTCCTTGCCCTGACTCTAACCAACACTTCTTTATTGCTTTCCTCCAAATTTGCCCACAGATACTGCCTCTGTGTTTGATCAGTTCCTTAAACTTCCAGCCTCCTCGAAGCACATCCCCCCAACCTCTTTGTTTTAACCACAATCCCACCATTTCCTTCAGTGGTGGAGCACGTGGTAGCTAGGCAGGTGGGCAGATGCCTTGGCCTCATGAGGGCCTCATGCTCCCATCTTTCTCCCAGGACTCTTCCACCCTCAGTTGGTGGCACAGGGGCAGGCTGGTGAGTACATCTCCCTGGGGCTTTCTCTCTCCCTTGACTTCCTCAGCAGGGAATCCTCTCCCAGCACACAGGAGAGGAGAGAGGAAGATTTCTCCATGTACTGTAGTCCCTCCAAGATGACTTTCCTCTCTGAAAACTTCTGCTGATGAGGGGTGAGTGGTGTTTGAGTGGGGTAGAGTCCACCCACTGCCGTTGTGGTTCTTAGGCAGCCCTATGGGGAGGTGCATGTCCCAGAGCTAGTTGTACTCTCGAATTAGAATTTTGGCTCTTTAATGCCTCCTGTTCCCAGCTATGAGCCTTTTTCAGTAGGACATGGCCACTCCCTGTTTCCAAGTAACTCTGTTTCCTAACTGACTTTGGAACAGAGACAGCTCTTCTTCTCTAAAGCCCCCCACTTCAGGCTACTCCCACTGACTCCCTCCTGTCCTCCACCAGAACAGCCGTGCCAAGGATGGCAGGGACTCTAGTGTTAAACCCAGCAGGCACGGCCTGTCCTCAACTAAGCAGAGTCCACCTCTCTTGTATCAAACTCCCAGCTCCCCTTTTCCTGCCCATCCCCCTCCTGCCAATTTTCTTGTTCTGCCTTGTCAGCTCTTGGCCTTGTACTCCTAAATGTTGGGGCTCCCCAAGGTGCTTCTTTTCTACTGCTTGAACTCTTGCTGGGCAGCCTCACCCATATCATATCTGTACAGTAGTGACTCCAGAATGAATATCAGTGACCCAGAGCCATGCGCACAACTTCGTGTGTCCAGATTACATCTGCCACAAGGTGCTCCAAGGGCCGCTCAGCCCAGCGGCCATCAGCCTCGCTCTCCCAGGCCTGGTTCTCCTGCATCCTCTGCCTCAGTGACAACAGCACATTTGCCAGCATGCAGGAGCATGGCTCAGAGTCTAGCCCAACCTCCTCCTCACCTCTCCTTTAGTCTTCCTTTCATTAAATTATTTTTAAATCCTACATTTTCTCTCTATTAGTTTCATAACTTGAAAAGGGTTCAAATCATCATCTAATTGTAGGACAAATATTAAGACCCTGCTAGGGCTGGGGAGATAGCTCAGTGGAATAAGTGCTTGTCTGGAGGGCCTGAGTTTGACTCCTGGTACCACCAAAAAAAAAAAAAAAAAAAAAAAAAAAATCCCTGCTGAATGTGTCCTCTTTCTCTTTCCCTGATCCATTTTTCACACTACTGATGATTATAATCCTAATTAAATGGTCCTACAGGTTCCTGTCTCTCCCAGAACCAGTTATAATCCTCCGTGTGCCTGGCGAGCCACACGTGCCCCTCCCTGCCTCTGGCCTCATCAGCTGCCTGCTATGGCTCCTCTTCTTCCCTCAGCTGCCTGCATCTCACCCTGTGGGCTGTGCACGCAGGGATTTCTGGTCCACCAGTACCCCCTGCTCCCAACAACGCCTCTTAAGCTCACCCCTGAGATTTTAGTTCTGAGTTTGCTTCTTTAAGCAAGTCTTTCCTAGTTCCAACTGACCTGAACTTCCCAGAACACACTGGGCTTCTCTCCATGGCACTTAGCACAGGCAAAATTTTAAGCAATCCATACAATTTTGCTTCATGGGCCCTCCACTGGAGGACACAGATGTTGCTTGTCTTGGTGGCTTCTGTGGTCCCAGCTTCCCAGCTTCTAGCACACTGCTTTTCCCAAGGCCACCAGACAAATTACTTGTGAAGAAACAACAAAGAAATGTGTTTATGAAGTGCTACAACATATTTGCACTGCAAACACAGGTCGCGCTGGTGCCTTTCCTGGAAACATCTTTTTTATACATAGATTTACTTAGACTTCCCTTTTCTCTGAGCATGGATGGCTACATACCTATCTGTCCTCCTCCACCCTTCCTGGTGTTACCAGCCAGCTGCCTTCCCATGTGTTCTTGCTCTTTACTCAAATACCCCCCATCTTTTTATTCACACGACTCCTGGCCTCCTGCCCTGTGAACACAGTGACCTTGGAGTCTGGACCATCTCAGACAGAGGCAGAGGCAGCTTCAAAGGAAACAGTGGCCTGGTGTTGGTTGGGAAGCTCTAAGATAGGCAGAAATGTTACATCGCTCTCCAAAGAGAATATATGCGTCGATTTGTGTGTAGTGTCACACTCATGAATCCCATCTCACACTTCCTGTCTCCTGTTCACTTCTAGTCCCCAGCGGTCCCCCATCAACAACCATCTTGGCCTCCTCCAACAAAGTGAAAGGGGGGGATGACATCAGTGTGCTCTGCACTGTCCTAGGGGAGCCTGATGTCGAGGTGGAATTCAGATGGGTATTTCCAGGGCAGAAGGTAAGTACCATACCTGGTCTCAGGCAGTCTTTTTAGAATTTTTGTCCCCATCTGGGGCAAGAAATGTGTGGGGCTTTAGCAGGGACCAGGGCTAAGACCATAGTGCCAAACCTATGGCACATGTGCAGCAGCGGGCTGTTACCACTGAAAGCTCTAACAGGTTCCACTACTGGTCTACGGTATTTCAAGGTATTTATAAGTATTCATTCAATGTATACTCTTCATATGCAGTTGTTTTCATAACCCCTAATTAAGAAAGGACAGTGAGTGGCCTGAAAGAGGAAGGAGGGAACCTCAGTCTTCAGTCTGATCTTCTGAGTGTCCTAGAGGCAAATCTCACCTTCTGGTGTCTTTGCAATGTTCTCCAAGCTATATCCTATGGTGGGAGCTCTGAGCAGACACCCAAGAGCACATACAGACAGAGGCCCTGTCAAGGTGCTTGGAAGCCAGCTGGCATTGCAAAATAGACGTTCCATAAAAGCAACTACAGCACGTTTAGCCTTTGTGCATATTTTCCTCACTGAAATAAACAACTATGCTACCAAGATGGAATAATCCCTTTGTTGCTTTCACTTCTCAGTGGCCAATATACTTCTGCCCTGAGAGCTGTAATGAGTGGGAAATGACCATCCCTGAAGAGTATTATTTTTCAGCATTCTAGTTAATAACCAGGTAGTTATTAAAAAGTGTTGCTACACTGGGAAGATGTGATTTCCAAGAGGGCTAGTATTTTTCACATTAATTTCCATTTTATGAGCAGAAAATATTAGCAGTAATATTAGTACTAAGTGGATTCAGAAAACACTATTTTCATCACTCCATTTGGCAGAAATCTCAGAAGTGACCATCTCCTTCCAGAACATGAGGTCATACCATCTAGGGCACTGTTTTGTCCATCCAGAGTACAGCTGTTCTCCCTCTGGAGGCCCACAGCACATAAGGCTAATTGTACTTTTCCCTCTCCCAAGACCAAACAACTGGGAGCTCTTCTGCACTTACAGTGACTGCACTGGGCTTTTGATTTTAAATTCTGTGAATAGGAGTCCCTTGAGATGTTAGTGAGCAATAGAAAGATGGAAGCAGTGAAAATTTTAGTCTCTTTTCATGCTCACTACCAATTTCATTTAGTTTCTAAAGAATACATCCTAAATATAAGCTTACTGAAAAAAATGGCTGAAAGCAATCACCAAACAATATTCTGAAATGCTAAGACTTCACTTAGAAAAAAATGTAGCCTTGAATGATTGTAGTGTTAAAAGCTTCCAGAGCCCACAAGCTCTGCATACCAAATACACAGAGCTCATACATAAGTATAAGCATTGCGCTTTGAAAGGAACAGTGTGTTGGGTGCATGGGAGCTGTTTAGAGCAGCTTGTCTGTGTTGGTATCATTAAACAGGACGAAAGGCCTGTCTCAATTCAAGATACTTGGAGGCTGATCCACCGAGGACTCGGACACACCACAAGGATCTCCCAGAGTATCATCACGGTGGAAGACTTTGAGACCATTGATGCAGGGTATTACATTTGCACTGCTCAGAATCCCCAAGGACAGACTACAGTAGCTACCACTGTTGAATTTTCCTGACTTGGAGGGTGAAGTATTGTGAACTGGTGGAAAGCCTGTTTGCAAACATAGTCTTTGGTTTCTCCTTAGTAGTACTTTGCCAGAGGCTGATGTCAACGCCAAGTGGCAACCCTTGCCTGAGAGTCAGAGACCCAGACATCCAAACTAAAAGGAAGTCACTCATTTATTAACAGAAGTGTTAACTTTTCTAACAGAAAGCATGTCTTTTGACTGCTTACCTATGTCCATGTTTTGTATAAGAGCATATATGCCAACAACTTTAATCATTAAACGAGCAAGTTTTTGTAAAAAATAAAAAAAATGGGTTAAGTGCTTATTTTTTAAGTTGTCTTGACGACATCAAGAAAGACTCATTGGCAGCAATACTTCAGTCAGTACATAGGGTTCTCTTTCAAATAATAATCCCACTACATCAGATTTTAAATGTGCTGATACATAATTCAACTACTTATCTATAAGTGGTGACTTTAGATTCAAATGCATAGATCTATCACTTTTCATCAGTAGCACCTTTAAAGTGTGAGGTACTTTACAAGGTATCAAATAAATCTAACTAATTCTTTGTATGCCCTCTAAAGTCCCAATTTCAGATTAGACTACTTAATAAAAACTAGATCATGTGTTTTTAAACTTTTAAAATAGATAAATATATGACTTTTTAAAATTGTGTCAAAATTTTATTTGAAAAGAGTAAGAGAAAAATAGGCTCTCCAGAGTGAACTTGGGCCAAACAGGGGAAAAGAAAAAAGGAACAAAAATAAAAGCATGTTCTGGTCTACAAGAGACAGAGTGGGATACCATGAAGACTCATGATAGCTAAGAAATATTCAGTATTGTCTAGACTCATCTTTAAAAAGTGTTTAGACAAAAGCTTATTAAAACCAGCCAGGATTTATTTCTCAAATACACATCTTTAAAATTTAAAAAGCTCAGTTCTGACTCGAGGTCTGTGAGCCAGATTTCAGCCCATGACAAATTCTGTGGTTTCCACTGGAAATTCCTGAGAAATGACTTAGAAGATATGATCTGAACTGCTTGGCTATTCACTGAGTGATACTTTGAACAGTGAAATAGGTCAGAGGCTGCAATTCTTACATTGAATATTCCAGCATTATTTATTTGATTAAAATAAAATACACTTTCCATCACTAAAAACAGCACAGCTACCATTGTTTACACATCTGTATTTTTATGACGTGCCAACATTTTGCATCCCGCGTGAAACATTTGGTTTAAACAAATCTTAAAAATTCTCTATTTTGTTCCCTATCTTCTTTCAATTGTCTGTCATCCTCTGAGGACATTTTTACTAATTGCTATAAGGTTTATTTCCCAGACACCTACATGGTATGGAGAATTGCAAGGAGTAGCGTGAGATTACCATGCATAGGGGGTGAATGGCAAACCCAACTTTGGCTAATGTCACTGAGAACAAAGTGGAAGTGAGAGCAGAGCTATTTCCAGGATCTGGCAGTGAATCTATGCCCCCATGAATCCAAAGCAAACATGGAAAGTTACACATGTAATAAACTATCAGAAGTTAAAGACACCCAACACAATCACTAATTGAAATAAACATGCATGATGAGTATCAGTTGGCTATGTAATGTACATGTAATTGATGACTCAAATACCCACATCTAGTTCCCTAATCTGTTCTTACTATAGGGGCTATGCACACAGCCATCCAATGAAGATTAGTAAATACTGACATCACAAGATTGACACATGCAGGGAGGGGAGGGAAAGCCACAACTGTCCTATCTTGCACAGAATTTTAAGCCAAGGGTGGTGATAAGGGAAACCCTAAAAAGAAGTCCAAACATAACTTGGAGGGTTGTCAAGCCTCATTTTCCACTTGTCTGCTGGAGATTCTACCTTTCTAAAGAAAGGAGTGCTCAAGGGGCACCCTTAAACTAGCACCATCTTCCCAAGGTATTTTATGCTATTGAACACAGCATTATCAGCTTAATCAAGGTGCTTCTACTTAGAAGTACCAAATCCCATCTTTCTTAGTTCTAGCCAATAGCTTCCTCTTTCTCATTATTTTATGTAAGGCTTTCCAAAATTTGTGTATCAGATCCAGACCTTTGTTTGGAAAATGAGTTCAGCACCTTGGAAATGAGCTAGCTCTGGAAAGGCAGAGATAAGAGGTAGAAGGTTTTGTGGCTCTGGATGGTAGAGAAAGGAAAGGGAAAAATAAGGATAATGGGGGAGAAGAAAAGAGTGTATATCTGTAAGGATAGGTTAGCTCAAGGTAAACTATAAGGCAGAACAATCCATTGGCACTGCCCTTTTTCTCTATACAGATTTTAAAAAAAGAATTAGGTTTCTAGATTTCCTCATAGCCTCAAAAAATGGATTGCTGAATAGTGTTAGGATTATGTAATCCACAGAAAATTCTAAACTGATGAGCATTAACATTTAAAAACCCCCAACAAGTTACTCCAAAAAGACATGGAAAATATATAGACATTGACAAGTCAAAGCTTTCCTATCACACCCTTTCAGTTATGTTGCAGGGTCAAGCAGAGTTGGTGGTGGAGAATTATAATTCAAGCAACTATTGCTTTTTCTTCTATGGCTTTTGTTACAATGTGTACATCAACTATGATCTGATTTAGTACACTGCGCTTTTGACTGTTATGCTACAGTGAAGAAGACTGCACGAGACACATGACACTCTCTCACATCCATTTCATTCATATACCCCACCCATAGTCGGACCAAATAAAAATCACAAGAAGGTGTCTGTGATGTAATGTTATAAAGTTATAAATCTTTATCTTAATAGGGCCCTGAGAGTTTTTCCCCTTAAGCTTAGGTGAAAAAGGCAATGAACAAGATTCTCTCGTTCCTTAAGTGCTTTGTGCAACAAGTTCCATGTTGATTCTGAAATCTTTTTTGGAGGTATCTTTTGGACCAAGTCAAAAGTCTTCCTCCAGAGTTCCAGTCTCCTAAGTAGCCAATTTTGGTGGTCGCTGCTTTCCAGTTATCTTGCAGAAATTCCACATGAGCTAATGTAGCTCCTGCTCCCATGATAGTTATATCAGGGTCGGTCCTGCAGCCCCGCATCCAACTGCCCTTGAGTCTCGTGCTCCCAGGAAGCGTCATCTGGGTGAAACGCTAGGGCTGGGGAAGGAGCCTGAATTCCTTGGTGACTGAAAGGGAATGGCTGAGGATGTGGGCGATCTCTTGGGGCTGCACAAGTCCCCGTTGTGCAGCTTCCACAGTAGTTCCTCGTTCTCCATGGAGAGTCGCTTGTTGACTTTTGACTCCTTCTCCAGCGACTCCTGCAGCACAGCCTGCTCTGTGGAAAGTTGCCTTGAACACAAAAGAGAGCCACAAGCCATGTGAATTTAAGTTAAAAACTAACTTGAAAAACTTTACCATTTTAAATTTGAAAGTCAAAAACCCGTGCCAATGGGAGAAAACAGAATCCTGCAGAAGGTCACCAGGATGAAAGCTGGCTAAACCCAGACAGATACTACGCCCAAATACTTGCTTTGGGGCAATTTGTAGTAGTCTATGTGACACTTTCATAGGGATGCCACATCTTTTATGACTGTCTTATATTTGTGACTGCTTTCCTTTTTGAAAGACTTATTTATTGGTGGTGAGGATAAAACCCAGGGCCCTGCGTGCGAGGCAAGCACTCTGTCTGAGCTGCACGTCCAGGATGTTTTCTGGTTCTGTGCTGCTCCTTCTCTGAATGCATTCTCAGGCAGTATGCCAGGTTTCCTCACTTAGGTCTGTTTGGTCCGGACAACTTCGGTGAAAGTATGAACAGATATCATATTTTTCCCATTTTGGAATTTACTTTTTTAACCACCCACTCTGATCACATTTCCAGGAGATACCTGGGGGAGTGTGGTATCAAACTAACATGTTCACCGACGGGAAGGCAGCAGGGGACAGGACTGGTTTATTTTTACCTTGAAATTGCCATGTGCTTATCCATCCGAGCTTTTAATTCCTCGTTCTCCTGCTGGAATCGCTTCAGTTTGTCAACCAGCGCTGTGTTGTTGTCCACCTTGGTGTAAAGAAGAATTCCAAGCTCTATTATTTGGTAGCATAAAATACAATTGCTTTACTTCTTAGGACATATTCGTGACACAAGCATACTTTGGAGAGGTGTAGGGAAATGTAGCATATTGAGATATTTATATCCTAACACACAAGCAAAAGCACTCTGAAGCAGCAAAATAGAGCATGTAGATACTATGTATTTTTTTAAAAAAAGTATGCCAGGCACCCAAAATCAGACCCACCCAGTTCATATTCATAGAATTCTCTCTAAAACTGGTGCCCTGTGCTGGGTGACCCCAGGCACTGGCCTGCTCTCTTTTTTGTGTGTGTTTGTGTTTTAGGGAAGGGTCTACAGGGTGTTCAAGGTCTCATTACTAGATCGGACTCATAGTGATCCACCTGTTTACAGCCTCCTAAGAGCTGGGATTACAGGCAGGCACCACCACACCCAGTCTCAATTGCTGTCGCAGCGCACCCCTGGGGCAGGGCCAGCATGGCAGGCCCAGGGATCAAACCCTGTAGCTACTTGCAGGTGCTTTAATCCGCTGAGCTATTTGGCCGGCCCGGGCCTGTTCTCTTGTAAGGTGGTGCAACAACTACTGCAACTGAGCAGTCTGTGTTTGTTACAACTATGACATCTTCTTGTGGTAAGCTTTTTAGGAAAAAAAATAAATAAACCCCAATAAACAACAACTCACATGAAAACGCATAGGGCAACAGTTCATGGTTCTTGGCCACATTTAATATGACCTTAAGTACATCTCAGAATTCTAGATCACTAAGTATTTACACCTCAGCAACCACACAGAAGTACAATGCAACAAAGTTCCATGGAGGGAATGAAAGAAGGAAACACTACAGAAGCAAAGGGATTCTCCCCTCTGCTCAAAGCAAAATGCCTGTCCTCCTGCCCACACTCAGCTTTCAAAAGGAGCAATCTGATCAGCTGAGAGTCTAAGGGATAAGATCCCTGAAGCTATATAATCACTGACACGAAGGGGAGCTCATTCCACCCCAGCTCACTTTCTAAAGGTAGGATTTGGTCACAATGCTAAGGTGCTGCCCCTGCAGTATTATTTTATGATGACTTTACTCTCACCAAAGTGCCTAGTTTAGATCTCTGCTATTGTCAAGACATCCTAGCATCCACAAAATGCCCAGGGCAAGCCATCCAGGTGAAACAACTTTCCGGAAAAATGAGTGTAGAATAAAAGAAAAAGGGACCATGAAATGCTCAGTAATTATAAAGGCCCTGGAATTACAGACTAGCTGGTGATGTTGATTGATCTTAAAATACTGTCTAGTCCAGTTCGTTCGTTCGTTCGATCGATCGATCGATCGATCGATCGATCGATCTATCTATCTATCTATCTATCTATCTATCTATCTATCTATCTGGAAATGAAAATATCACCATGCAAATCATCATTGGCAGAGCTAGTTTTCATATTCATACCAAGATTTCTTCCGTAGACAATCTCATAGGCTTTTTCAAAGGCCTAAGTAAAGTAACAGTGGATGTAGCTGTCATCAGAGCAACACGTTGTTTGTTTTTGAGACAGGGTCTCCCTATGTAGCCCAGGCTGGTTTCCAGCTCACAGTGATGCTCCTGCCTCAGCCTCCCAAGTGCTGGAATGACAGGTGTGCACCACCATGCCCGGCCAGGGACACAGTTTTGTGCGTATGTATACACAGCATGCAGAACAATGGGACACTAACTGATGTTAACATGAAACCTCTCAGGTTTGACAAGACACAGAAATACTATGGACCAACAAGAAGCTAAAACACGTTATGATTTCTACAACAGAGTCTGTTTCATTGCTTATGATCTTCTGGAGAGTTCTAATACATAAATGGCACAAGGGGTTAACAAATCATTAACCAGATCATCTGAGTTATCACTGCCTGCCTGATCAGCAGAGCCATCACACCCAGTCTAACAGGGTGACCTTTGGCAGTGCCTGGTATGTCACTGGGTTGGGCCTGCTAATAACCATGAATTCCTTTCAGCCCTTAAAACAAAAACAAGATTTCCAGATAATATGAAGTTTCTCTGTGTATATGTACACACAGAGGGCTAGCTATTACCTCTCTCCAAAGACAAGCCATAGTCTGTAGTAGAAAACCAAACCAAAGTAAATCAAATCCTCTAACTTTAAACAAACAACAAAATAAAATCAGATAAGAGGGACCTATTGTTTAGGGTTGTTCTGAGTTTGAAAGAGAGATTTATTCCATGAGTCACCTATAACTGAGGGGAGCAAAGGCAAGCAGTGCCAGGTGACTGGCATCGTCAGGGGCAAAGTACAACAACGCCTCGGATCATTTAAGCTGCTCTGCCCTTCCTGCCAACTTGGTTCGCGTCCTGACAAGCAGCAGCTGTGTCAAGGCCCAGCCAAAACTGTCAATGGACACTCGGCAGTCTCGTCAAACACATGGTGCTAGGCAGACTTTCTCTTCCCCCACCCCACAGTTCTCTGTCCTGCAGGCTGTGAATTAAATTTTATTCATAATGCTTGCTATTTGTCTGATGGGATTAATCTGATTAAGGCATAATTATTTTATATTTTACTTTACCAGAAAAAAAGATGAGGGTTTAGACAGATTCTGTTGCTCCAGTGGGATTAATCTATACGTCCAACTTCTCTGGATGTAAGAAACCTATCCAGAATTGGTGGCATATTAAAGTACTGATCTTACATTACTTAAAAATTTTTAAGCCTGATGTTTGTTATACTTTGTCCAAGAACTGAATGCTGTTTTAACATGGTCCTTGAAAAATAAATGTTCTAGAAGGCCACAACAAATTAGCCTTGAACAAAGTTGGAAAAGGAAATGTAACTTTTATCTTTTATATGATATTACGTATCTATAAGTAGTAGCTAACTCAAGTACTCAGTTCTAAATCCTCATTTCGCAAGTATTACCATTTGGTAAGGTCCCTAATTCACTGTCCTGGAAGACACATACCAGTTTTTCCATTTTCATTAACTTGACATCCTGTTGGTGCAGTTTCTCATTCTTGATCTCCAACACGGCTTTCAGGCTTTCTAGTTCTTGCTCCAGATACATGATCTGAGGATTTTTCTGGAAAGAATACAGCAAGATATTGCTCTGACTTATTTCTCAAAATTGCCCGGAATTTTTGATTCGACTTAAATAAAAATAATTGAAAACGAAAACATCACTAACGTCAGTAAAATGGAAAATACTTGTTGCATCAAATATGTTACTAAAAGCAATAAAGAAACCAGTGCTTACAATGCAAGAAGAGAGTTCTGATTGGAGACCAGGCATTCACAAAGTGTTTGCAGAGACAAAGTGGAACTAAGCAAAGCCAGTACCTGACCAGAAAGAGAACAGCACTACACTTATAGAGCTGTCTCAAAAACAACCAAAACAGTAATCAAATCTTGAGTCTCATTTTTTTTCATGATGGTTCTATACTGACCTGGCCATATTACTAGAGCAGTCATAACACTATCATTTTATATTGTGATACCCCAACATAAAATGACACTGTTACATATTTGTCATATAGCAAATACTCTACTATGATTCTTTCCAAAGTGAACTCTTGTGAAGAGAAATATCCTCCTCCTTAATGGGTGGAAGTTCAACTGAACCACCCAAAACTTTGATTCAAATTAACAGTATGATATCTGTTGATCAGCTGTTTAATGAGGAAATTTCTTAGATAAGATTCAGTGTTGCGGATATTAAAGCTACTCTTTCAGGCAGTGGATTCCATTTCGTATCAATTCTGGAAATAATATAGCTCTGACTTATTTCACAAAATCACACAGAATTTTTGATTGGACTTAAATAAAAATAATTGAAAACAAAAACACCACTCCAGGGGCCGGGGAGATGGCTCAGAAGAATAAGCGCTTCCCTGGCAAGCTCAAGGTTCTGAGTTCAACCCCCAGTTCCACAAAAAAAAA